AATATACCTACACGCACGACTTCTTCGAATTTCCGACGTTCATTAAATTTAATTGTATCACTCGTATATTTTCGGAATTATTATTATACCAAACCAGTTGAGCATTTACTTTCAGTCTGTGATCGACATTTTACGCGTTAACACGTATTTTCGTAAACTATTTTTTTCTGTACATACGTTTGTTTTTGTTTTAAACATGGACAGTTGGTTGAAAAGTGGGTCTATTAATAAGACGCCTGCTACGGAGTCATCTTGTTATAATATAGAAGAAAGCATAACCAACGAAAACGGAGTTAATGATAATAGTCCTACTTCTCAAGGTATGAGTAGTACACTACCGCCCAATACTGGTGACTCTGTCCCAAGAACGTCCAAAAAACGTAAATACGATGAAAGTTATTTGGAGATGGAGTTCATAGAAACAAACGATGGCCAGCCACAGTGCGTAATTTGTTCAAAAGTTTTTCCTAACAGTTCTATGTATCCCGGAAAATTACGTCATCATTATGAAAAGGTCCACACAGATCACAATGGGAAACCACTCGATTTTTTCAAACGAAAGCGCTCTGAACTATTGGCTGTTAAAAAAAAAATAAAAAAGCACGTTCTAACCGATAATGAAAACGCATTGAAAGCTTCCTACATGGTGAGTTACCGTATAGCTCAAAAAGGCGAAGCTCATACCATTGCGGAGACCCTCATAAAACCATGTGGTATTGATATAGTAACTTGTATGCTTGATGACAAATCTGCCAAACATTTATCCATAATTCCTTTATCAAATAATACTGTTGCGCGACGAATTAAAGATTTGGCTAGCAACGTATCAGAAACACTTGTCTCTCGTATTAAATACACAAAATTCGCACTACAAATAGACAAATCAACCGATATTGCTGGTCTTGCTGTACTATTGGTGTTCGTTCGTTACGTAAACATGAACTCTTTTGAAGAAGATCTTTTATTTTGTAAACCACTTCTATCTAATACGACAGGGGTTCAAATTTTCGGTTTATTGGATGATTTCTTTACAGAAAATCAGATTCCATGGACAAACTGTATCGTTGTGTGTACTGATGGTGCTAGGGTTATGACAGGTGCAACAGCTGGAGCAATTGCTAAAATAAAGGAGAAATCAAATGAAACTACTAGTAGTCATTGCATACTTCATAGACATGCTCTAGCAATGAAAAATATTCCTCTTTGTCTAAAAAACGTATTGGATGAAGCCATAAAAATAGTCAACTTCATCAAGTCACGTCTTCTGAAATCTAGACTTTTTAAAATCTTGTGTGACGACTTGGGAAGTATTCATAATACGTTACTTTTCCATACAGAAATCAGGTGGTTATCTCGCGGTAAAGTATTAACACGTTTAATGGAATTAAGGGTTGAAGTTTCTTCATTTCTAATGGACCACAACGTTACATTTGCTGAAACTATGAATGACGTGATTTGGCTTTGTTAGCTATCGTACTTGGCAGACATTTTTAACAAAATGAACGAGTTGAGTCTTTCTTTACAAGGAAGAACTTTGACAATTTTTGATGCGAGCTCCAGAGTATGTGCATTGAAAAGAAAAATTGATTATTGGTCAGAGTGCATATTTAAAAGAGAGCTGGAGTGTTTTCCAATAATGCAGGCCTTTTTGGACGAAAACGAATTGCAAGCTCCCGTTAGCATTATTAACAAGATTTCTGAACATCTCAAACAACTGAAAAATTCATTTAATAAATATTTTCCTACAGATCGAGAGGTGTTTTTAAAAGACCGTGAATAGGTAGTTAATCCCTTTTCAGTCTGTGGAAAACCCTCAAGCTTGTCTTCAATCGAATATGAGAGTTCGATCGATATTACTTCAGATTCAACATTTCAATCCACCTTCAGTAGCAATTCTTATGTTGAATTTTGGCTAAATTTGAAAAATACAAGTTTTGATAATTTGAGTCAAAAAGCAATAACAATACTCTTACCTTTTGCTACCACATGTGCGACAAGATTTTCAGCCTATGCGGCTACTAAAACCAAATACCGGAACCGTCTTAATGTAGAACTTGACCTTCGTATCCAACTGTCAAAAATTGAACCAGATATTGCCAAACTTTCAAAAAATAAGCAGACACAAAACTCTCATTAATTTTTAACTTTTAAAGCAGTATTTTTTTTCTTTATTTTCAACCATAATATAGTAATTTGTTTTTAATATCTACAATAAAATTATTTAAATCGGTCAACAATGAAAACAAGTGTTCATTTTTATCATGTTTTTCATAATATTCACAGAGGGGCACCTAACTAAATTTGGAACAACAAAAGGTCACCGCCGACTAAAAAGGTTGGGAACCGCTGATCTAGAGGGAGCTGAAGTAGAACGAGATATGTTTGAACGCGATTATTTTAAAATCAGATCTCAAATGCAAGAGATCATAAATCACAAAAAGGCATCTAGTACTACAGGTCACAATGCATCCTTTGGAAATAACTCCTTTTCTCACCGAACGCAACTAGCTCCAATTCCTTTACCAAGGTTTAGTGGAAATATTCAAGATTGGGCTTCATATTTCGACATATTCAAGTCTTTGGTACATCAAGATGAAGGATACTCGGCTGCACAAAAATTTTATCTTTTACGTTCCAGCTTAGATGGTGCTGCTCTCGACTTAGTGCCGGCTATGTACTTAGTACACCGGTATGTGACACGAACTATGAGGCAGTTATACAGTTACTAAAACAGAGATATGATAACCAAAGTATGGTTATACAGTCTCATATACGTTCCATTCTTGACTGTCCACGCGTAGAAGATGCACCAGGGGCTACATTACAGAACTTGTTCGCCTGTATAACAACTCATGTTGCAGCTCTCAAAGCTCTTGACCAACCTGTTGAGCATTAGGACGCGTGGCTAGTAACAATCGTTACTACTAGATTGGACAAGAGGTCTGCACAGGGGTGGTTATTGCATCAGAGAAACACAGATCTTCCAAGGTTCTCTGGCTAGTCGATGTGCAGCTCATGAAGCTTCGAAAGCGTTGCAAAAAAAATCGGCTACACCATCAGCTACTTCGTCAAATAAAAATATTTCGCACTCAGGGAAAAAGGCGTTGTTTGTTTCAAGTGAAATCGAGCCTTGTCCCTATTGCTCTGACATTCACAGAATATTCTATTGCGAAAAGTTCAAGGACCTGTCAGTAACCGATCGACTTACATTCATCCAAAAAGTAGGACACTGTTTCAATTGCCTGTCATCGAGACACACGTCTGACACGTGTAAATCACTGTATAAATGTCGCAAGTGCAAGGGAAAACATAATACATTATTACACCTTGAAAGGAGCAGAGATCAAGACAGGGACAATCATGTGTCTATTCAACCGGTTATAGAAAAAAAGACTGTGCCAGAAATATCACCGAGTACATCTGCATCCGCCACACACATCTCAGCAGCCCCACGTCATGTTTTCCTCGCAACTGCTATCGTTCACGTACAAGACAAGTTTGGAAGGCTGCGTGAATGTAGAGCTGTACTTTACAGTGGATCCCAGATAAACTTCATCTCTAAGAGTTTATCAAGCTTGCTCCAACTATCAGGGAGAAAAAGTTCACTTCCGATATGTGGAATCGGCGCTAATCGAGTTCAAGCAGCCTCTTGCATTGATTTACGGATTGAGTCCAGAACAAGTGATTATAAGGTGGACTTAACCTGCTATGTTCTACCAAGTATTATTTCCGACTTATCTGCTTGTCTCACGCCTGAGGAAGGATGGAAAATTCCGGAAGAGGTATTATCACAACTTGCAGACCCAGATTTCTATAAGAGAAGACCTGTTGATTTACTCATAGGTGGTGGCATTTTCTTTGATGTCTTAGGAATGGAGCGAATATCGTTCAATTTGGAAACATTGTGGTTGCAAAATAGTCGGTTTGGCTGGATTGTTACCGGCGAATTACGTTAATCGTGCTTAGCTGGTGTCAATTCCTTTGGTGCATCTCTAGAGACAGATTGGAAGGCTCTGCACCCAGAGGAAGATATGATCTATGGTCGACTATCCAAACCAAATTCGAAGATTTTAGAAGAAAAAGAAGTTGTGCAACATTTCCAAAATACAGCAATCCGCGACGCCAATGGCCGCTTCGTTCTTCGATTACCAATTAAAATGAACGCGGATAAATTAGGAGGCAGCATAACAATGGCGACATCACGGTTTCTGAGTGTTGAAAGACGAATACAAAAGGACCCTACCTACGCACAGAATACATACGGTTTATGCAATAATACCTAGAGATGGGACACATGCAGGAGTTCGCAACGAACCATCTATTCCCTCAAATTCATATTACTTGCCACATCACGCTGTTCAAAAAACCTCAAGTCTAACTACAAAGGTAAGGGTAGTCTTCGATGCTTCCGCCAAGTCTTCCTCAGGTATATCACTGAACGATATATTAATGCGAGGCCCAATAGTCCATTAGGATTTATTTGCAATATTGACTCGTTTTAGAAGGCACCAACATGTGATAACATCAGACATTGAAAAGATGTTCCGTCAAGTTGCTATAGCAGAACCTAATTGGGACCTTCAACGAATTTTATGGCGAAACAACCCGAGTGAATCACTTCGTACATATCGATTAGTAACGGTTACATATGGCACTACTCCGGCATCATATATGACCACTCAATGTCTGGTTAAACTAGCTGAAGAATTCCGAAGTATTATCCGAAAGCATCAGCAGTCATATCACAGGACTTCTATATGGATGACCTGATGACAGGTTGCGACACCGAAGTAGAATGCTGTCGTTTACAACAGGAAGTCAGCATGATACTTAACTCAGCCAAATTACCACTCCGCAAATGGTGCTCAAATTCTCAAGCTGTGTTGAAGTGTATAAGCAAGGAAGAGCAATACCCACTCTTCACTTTAAATATAAATGACGATGATACTGTCAAATCTTTGGGACTGTGTTGGAAACCAATCGCTGATGAATTCCACTTCCAAATAACAGATGTGCCAGAAAACTGCTAACTCACTAAAAGAACGTTGTTATCACAATTAAATAGAATTTTTGACCCGTTAGGTTTTCTCACACCGGTACTCATCAAGGGAAAAATATTCCTCAAGCAACTATGGCAATTGAAAATCGATTGGGATACTCCATTACAATAGGACCTTCAAAGGAAATGGTGTTCATACTACGAAGATTTACAAATTCTCAAGAACTTGTCAATACCGCGAAAAGGTATATTTAGCATAAGTCAAAAAATAGAAATGCATGGTTTCTGTGACGCATCGTTAGAGGCTTATGGGGCCTGTATTTATGTACGATCGTTAGGACATGATGGGATTTGGCATTCACAATTGTTGGGTTCGAAAACTCGGGTAGCTCCACTTAAGGGCATAACTGTCCCTCGCTTAGAGCTAAATGGAGCACATTTGCTAGTACAGTTGGTTGTCAAGATTTCTGATGCATGGAAGATAAACCCGCAAGAATTTCAACTCTGGACTGATTCCATGGTTGTATTATCCTGGTTGAATAGTGACTCTAGTCTGTTAAAAACATATGTATCGAATAGATTCACACAAATAATAGAGGTCTCCAGCCCTTCTTAATGGCGACATGTAAGGACAAATGAAAGCTCTGCCGACATAATCTCTCGTGGAATAAGAGCTCAAGAGCTGAGTGCATCAACGATCTGGTGGCATGGCCCTTTGTGGTTATCTCAATCGGAAGATTGTTGGGACCCTACACCCATACGAACAATACTAGAAGCTGAACTTCCTGAACAACGAACGTTGCGTTTGGCGCTGCTAGCAACAAGCCCAATCAAAGACTTGGTCGGCAGTTACTCTAGCTGGCCCAGACTTGTAGGTGCAGTTGGATGGATTTTAAAATTCATTGAACATGTTGGGTCAAAAAGAGAAAGGCCGACAGCCAAGTATCTCACTGTTTAAAACCTCAGAGCCGCTCAAAGAGCTTTACTCCAGACAGCGCAAAAAGAAGTGTTTTGGAAAGAAATAGCAGCATTACAACAACATAAAAATGTGTCTCACTGCAGTAAGTTGAGGTCCTTGAATCCGTTATTAAAAAACAAGTTATTAGTCGTCGGAGGCCGGTTAGAGTATGCTATGATAACAGAAGAGCAAAGGACACCAATTATTCTACCAGCTGACCATAGAGTAACTCGTCTAATTTTTACAGAACGTCATCGGAGCTTACTGCATTGTGGTCCATAAGCTCTTCTAGCAGAAGTAAGACGTTAATATTGGCCGTTGCGGGGAAGACTCACAGCAAGATCGGTAGTCAAGCGTTGTGTTGATTGTGTCAGAGCAAAACCGAATTTCCAACATCCATTGATGGCACCATTGCAAAAAGAAAGAGTTACTTGTACGCATCCTTTTACCAATACAGGCGTTGATTTCGCTGGCCCATTGACGATACGAAGCGGAATCCGCGGGAGACCTGGCAAGAAAGCCTGGATAGCAATATTTGTCTGCTTTTCTACTAAGGCAGCGCACATAGAAGCAGTGGAAGACTTAACATCCAGTGCATTTATTGCCTCACTTCGGAGATTCTGCTCCAGAAGAGGAATACCCGATAAAATCTGGAGTGATAACGTCACCAATTTCGTTTGAGCGAGACGAGAACTAACAAAATTTAACAGAGGAATAGAATCACATCGCCGAAGACATCAACTGTCATTTCAACCCGCCTTTGACCCCGAATTTCGGAGGAATTTGGGAAAGCTGCGTTAAAAGTGCGAAGCACCATTTATCAAGAAACGTCAAGGATGCACATTTGACCCTCAGTGAATTGCAGACACTACTCTGCAAAATTGAAGCGTGTCTAAACTCTCGCCCTCTTTCACCATTGAGTAGCAGCCCAGACGATTTAGAACCGCTCACTCCTGTTCACTTTCTTATAGGGGGCCCAATCACGTTGCCTCCGGAACCAGATTTAACATCACAACAAATCAGTGGACTTCGAAGGTGGAAGTTAGTACAAGCACTCATGCAGTCTTTTTGGACAAGATGGACCTCGGAATGTTTGCCTCAGCTGCAGGTCAGAGGAAAACGGACAACTGCAACCAAGCCATTAGCAATCGGCGATGTCGTAATTGTAAGGGAAGACAACATGGCTCCATGCAAGTGGAAGATGGCACGCATAACATGTCTACACCCAGAAACCTAACCAGGAAAGGATGGGCATATCTGAGTAGTCACCATACGAACTGTTAATGGTACAGAGATGAAAAGGCCAGTCCTCAAATTATGTCTGCTGCCAGTCGAGGATGAGTTAGAAGACGGTAAGTTAGTACGGTAACACCTGGCTACTCTCAGAGCTGCGACCCTCTGGGCCATCAGGAGTGAGTTTTCCGCTTTCTTCACGGCGCGGACGGTATCAGCCCATATCTGGGCGCCATAGAGCAGTCGGCTATGCACCACGCTCATGAGCAACCTGCGTTTGGCCTGCGAGAGCCTTCCCACATTGGGCATCAGCCTCCCGATCGCGGCGCCGCTCTTCTTGCTCCCGCAGCTACTGTATTAGCATGTTCAACAAACGACAGTCTGGTATCCAATTGTACGCTCAGGTACCTAATGGCTCGCCTCGTTGGCACTTGGAACCCCTGTATGCTCAGCTGCGGTAGAGCAAACTTGTGCTTCCCGGTAAGGATGACACACTTCGACTTCTCAGGGGCAAGTCTTAATCCGTTGTCGGACATCCATGTGGCAACATCCGAGAGGATTGGATTAACCAATTGCTCCATTAGCTCTGCATTATGGGCTACAGCTGCTATAGCCACATCATCGGCGAAGGCTATAAGTTTCGCATCTCCGTGCACCGGCAGGCGTAGGATACCATCATAAAATCGGTTCCACAATGTCGGCCCAAGGACCAACCCTTGTGGAACACAGCATGTCACCTCAAGATTTGACGCATCCGAACTGCTGTCCGAACCGATCAGAAGTTTGCGCTCAGACATGTATGACCTTAGTATCCGAATGAGGTATTCGGGAAAAGACGATCTCTGTAAGGCCTCATCGATCCGCCTCCAAGGTGCCGTGTTAAAGGCGTTTTTGACATCTAGTGTCACCACCGCGCAGAGATGTCTGTTCTGGACAACCCCTTTTCCAGTTTCACGCGCAACCTCCATTACTTCATCAATTGCATCAGTGGTGGACCTGAAGCGCCTAAAGCCAAATTGGAGGTTGCTGAGTGCTCCTGCTCTTTCGATGTGTTGCTCGATGCGGTTCAGAAGAAGCCACTCCAATAGTTTGCCTCCACCATCCAGTAGACTGATAGGTCGATAGCTCGACGGCTGGTCTGGTGGTTTGTCCATGCCCTTGCGCAGCAGGACCAACTTAGCTCGCTTCCATCTGTGCGGGAAGTGACCGTTGATCAGGCAGGCGTTGAACGTCTCAAGGAACTTCTCAGGACTTTTCTTCGCGGCTAGCTTGATAACCTCGTTAGGAATGTAGTCAGGACCAGGTGCCTTCCCCAGAGGCAGCTTGCTCACCCTCAGCTACAGTTAGTCTGAAGTAAAAGGAGGTATCAGAACTTCTGGTTGTTCGATGATTACGGTGGGAACGCTTGGCTCCAGTGGAACTAAATCCCAATTGACTTTTGGTATTGCGGGGAAGAGTCCTCTCGCAATGCTCGATAGCATGGGTTCCTCGATGGTGGGGAGCCGACGACCCAACCGCTTAGTGACGAGCCTGTATGGTACTCCCCAGGGGTCGCTGTCCACTGACTCGCACTATTCTCTCCACGATGCCTCCTGTGCCTTCCTTATAGCTACCCTCAGTTGCTTCCTTGCCTGATTGTACACGTGGAAAGCCTCTTCGCGGCCACCAGTACTGGCTCTGCGACCCGCACGCTGATAACTCCTGCGAGCAGCAATAGCCACCCTGCGTAGGTCGGCAATTTCTTCATTCCACCAGTGGACTGCCCTCTTACCACTTACCTCTTACGGCTGATCTGATGGGCATTGCTGCGTCACAAGCCTGAGTCAGATATTTCAGGAGGCGCTCTACAGTCTACATGTTCCTCCGTAGTAGTGTCCCGAGAAATGGTGGGGAGTGCTCCTGTTCGATTCCAGTGCTCCATGATGGCTACCGGAGACAGTTTTTTCACCGACTATCCACCTGGCCGAGCTATTTTCGCTGTTGGACTGCGTGACTCAGATTTGAAAACAGAGTATGCGATATACTCATGGTCGCTGGCGGAATACCTCTGCTCTAATACAGACCAGTCATGCACCAATGGTCGGTTGTCCGTGGATCGCGCAAAGGTGACATCAATTACGGACGTGGCGTTGACCCGCCCGAACGTGGGGACGGAACCCATGTTACACACTGTCAGATCCAATGCCGAGGCGAGGCCAGACAGTAGTGATCCTCTTGCGTCCTCCAATGAGGAGCCTCATTCTGCAGAGTGAGAGTTGAAATCCCCGGCAACAATGACGTCACTCCCCGCGCCTGCGTTGTGCTGGACCGACGCCTCAAGATTGCTGAGGAATCGATCGAACTCCTGGATCGTATAGTTGGGCGTGTAGTAGCAGCTAAAGAATAGCTTTCCCCTCACCTTCGCCCATGCGAAGCCACCACAAGAACCTTGATCCGAGACGTCCGCCGATCTGCCAGGGACATATATGGCGCACTTGCCATCAGAGCTGGCAACCCAACGCGGCGCCTGACCTAACGGGCGGTTGTAGTCGCTAACTATGACTACGTCAATGTTAAGTTCCGCGATTGTTTGCAGGAGGAGTTGCTGCGCCGCCCAACAGTGATTAAGGTTCACCTGCAGCACCTTAATCCCTGGACCTGGGTCTGCTGTTAGCGGCATGACAGGGACTCTGATGGCTTAGCCGGCGCCTCCGTACGCTGGCCTCGGTCCGACTCTCCGGACTTCTCGCACCGGCGGGGGAGTGTGCAGTTAGCAATAAGATGGCCCACCGCCTTGCATCTGAAGCATTTCCTGGTCTCCTCGCTCTTACACTAGCTGGTTGCGTGGCCAGTGTCAAAGCACTTTGCACAGTCTGGCTTAGATGCCAGCTCCTTAATGCGGCACGCAGCCCAGCCCACCCTCAACTTTTTCAGTCGAGCTAGCTTGAGCCCGGGGGTCAGTGGGTCGTTGGATACCTTCAGCTCAGGATCGTGTTCCGCCAGGGTATTAATCAACTCCTTTTCATCGACTGAGTCCTCTATCTGAGCAGCAGTGCGAAACTCGGAGAAGGACGCCTGATACTCCTCGTTTCGCCAAGCTGGCGCTTGAGCGCACTAGCAAGGTCATCGGCGTGCTTCTTTGTGTTCGTTTCCAGTACTAGATTAGCAGACTTAGCTCTCCTAGTGGAAATCATGAACTGGAAAGGCTCCTTGAGAACAGCATCTTTAACTTCCCTCACTGCTTCGGCGTAAGAGAGATTCGCCGGCTTATCCAAGACTACCACCTGCGTTCTGGGAGGGTGCCTCCGCTTACCACTGCCTGCCTTGGTTGGTGGTACCTTAAGTTCCGCCTTGAGCACCAGGGCGTCTGCCTTAGCCCTTCTTGCAGTCCTCCTGTCCTGTACCACTATGAAGTCAGCCTCCTGCTCTGTGGATGTAGTTGCCCTATCCTCGAAATTAGTACTTGGCCTTTGTTGTTTACCTTTACTGGGTGGCTTCGCCTTCACTACCGGTACCTGCGTGGTCGTGGAGTGAACTGACCCGTGGCCGCGCACAGACGCATTCACCCACCAGTATGGCGTGTCTGTACCGGTTTCAACAGTTGACTTCTTAGCCTCCGACTGCAATACAACCGCATCGGTCGTTTGGGTCCCGACTTCAAACAGCTTTGCCCGATTCGTCTTCGCCTGCGGTGCTACTGCACGTGATTGCGTCTCAAACAGTACAACGTTGAAGGCCTTTGCCACTTTGTCCCTGCTTGCTTTGATGCCACTTATGATCTCCAGAAGATCCTTTATAGCCGAGCTGACCGTTGGGCTGTGTGTCTTCACCGAGACAACCTCCAGGTGGACAGCCCTATCAAAAGCGTTTGCGAGCATCCTCCTTTTGAGCACCTTAATGGCATCCCGCATCTTGTCACCACCTTCCCGCTCAGCATGCGTGGCTTGGGAGCAGCTTACTCAGCACTAGTATCTGCTAGAGTGACGGGGAAATGGCTGGCCGCCCCCGCACCCTCAATTATTTATTATTATATCTATGCCTTAAGTAGAAAAATTAAAAATAACAATAAACACATGTGAACTTTTAATATTATGAATAATTAGTACCTAACTCTATCACCACACTCTATCATTTACCAGTACTATAAAATTTATTAAAATGTAACAGTTAACAATTACAAAACCACAGGTGTTCAATCTACACCTGACTGCAACTTTGTAAGATAAATAATTGTCGTGGTAATGTATTTGTTAAGTTATTTCAGATGTATCATAACCAATAAGTACCTAATACATTCAGTGGAAGGGTAAACTGTTTTTCCTGTGAAGCAACTGCCTTAAATAAGAACCCACACCACACACCAATTTTATTCTTATTTTACACTTATTTTTTCAGACTTAAATAAATTAATATAAAGAGTAGGGGATGGCGGGGCAGTACCGTACGGTTAAGCTTCCATGGTTTATAAATCATGTAATTTTTGACGAAATTAAATTTTTTAAACTGGTATATATAGAAAAACTTATGGTCTATAACTTTTATTCCAAACTTTTTTGTATTTTTTTTTAAATGTGTTTAATTTGCGTTTTACTTTTTTCGGGAAAAATACGGATTTACCCCAGGTTAGGGGTAAATCCGTATGTACCCTTGGGAAAAATCGTATGAGGGCAATTGTTATGCAAAATCACAGTTCATTATATGTATTGGTAAATTATTAATTGGTATTGGACTTTCATTTAATTAACTTGTAAAGTTTAACTAAAATTAGGCAGTAGGTAGTAAGTTATGTATGATTTCATTTTCATTAATCAAAAATGTACCCAAACATTTTTTTCAATTCTTCAAAATGTCAACAAATTAATAACACAATACAATATGCGATAAAACCTGCTCCCATTGGCAGTAGTATAACAAATACAACTTACCTAAGTAGTAAGTACTTAAGTACCTATCTAGTTATTAAAATAAAACAAAATATTCTTTTAATATAAGAAATAAAAATGACCACACAAAATTACTTTTTAATAAAAATAATAAAAAAATTTAATATGATAAATTTTTTTGGCAATTCTAGCTAGAACATAAACAGTATATTATAATCATAAAAATAAAGCAAAACCTTATTTTTTTATAAGAAATATAAATTACTATACCAAAATAACTTTTTTAAACCTTTTTCAAAAAAAAAATAATAACAAAACTTAACATTATGCCTGCCTTGCACATAAATATAGTAAACAATATGTAATATTAAAATAAAACAAAAACTTTTTTTATTATAAGAAATGAAAATTACCTTAATCAATAATGTTTTACTTATTTTTTTTTTATACAAAGATCACAAATGTAGGTCTTCCAGTTATCAACTCCTCCACAAAGCTCATGACACCATCTACAACAATTTATACATTTAACCCATTTCTCTTCCTTTGAGTCTTCTTTGTATGGCATACTACAATATATACATTCTTCGTCGGCACTGTCATCATCATCAGTTGAAACACATAGCTTTTTGGGGTGAATATCTTCTTCGTATATTAAAGTAAATAATCTTTTTTTAATATTATTTTTCTTTTGTTTTTTCTTTGACAGTGGTTTACTGTTATCTTTAGCTTCTTAGAGTTCTTTTTTGTATGGACTTTCAGTGATAATTGCTGTCTTTCCTCTTCTTCTTGATGATCTGTTAATATTTTGGTATTGGCAAGATAATTTCTGGAGATATATTAAAAATCTGTTTTTCATTTGAAGAAAAAGTTGTATGTGGAATTTCTAATACCAAACTTTGAGACGATAAAGATGAAACAGGCGCATTTTGAACATTATCTGCAGGGTGTTCATTATTCAATGTATTAGCAGAGAAACTAGGTTGAGGAGTAGAATATAATGGAAGAGCACTATTATTATCAGCTGAACAACAAGGTTGTGTTTGGGTATCTAATGACATTTCAATATTATTGGTAGTTTCAGCTGGAGCAAAGTCAAAATTGTCAAATATGTCTGAATTAAATGGAGCTATACCAGTTTTTCTAAAACCAGAAATTGCATTTTTTGGAGTTGCTGCTTTTAGATATGCTTCACGAAAAATTTTAGAAATGTGGCGAAGACCAACAACTTGGCCAGGGTGGTTAAGTAACCACAAATCTAACTCTTGGCTATAGTATGTACTGAGTGGACCCATAAAGATCACACCTAACGGTTGTAATTTGTGAGTTGTATGGGGATTAAAACAAATTATTACTATATTATTTTTGCGGGCTACATCTATAACTTCAAGGTTTTTAACATGAGTAACATGGCCATCTAAAAGCAATAAAATATTGTTTTCTTTTGTGGGATGTGTATGCTTAGTAAAATGAAGAAGCCACTGCACAAATATTTCAGATTGCATCCACCCTGATGAATGACAAACAACCAATGCTCCAGGTGGTGCTTCTTTTTCAAAATCTGGATTTAATCTGACTCTAGGGAATATTAATAATGGGAGAATATATGAACCCGATGCGGAAAAACAAATAGTCACTGTAACATTTTGACCTATCTCAGCTGACGACAGTTTGCCAACTTGTCTTCGTCCCTTTTGGAAAATTATTTTGGCTCTACTTTTGGCTACATTTGACAATCCACTTTCATCCACATTAAAAATCTGTTCTGGCTCAAAGTGATGAGTCTCATAACATGTTTTTAACAAATCATAAAAACTATTCACCACCGGTCGATTGAAGCCCATAGCTCTCACAGCCGAAGTTAGTTCTGGGATTCGTACTGACAACTCTGGGTGCCTTAATAAAAAGCCTTTTTATCAATCTTGACCTACATAAAAACAATTAAAAGATAATATAACAATAAACTTTAAAATATATAAATAAAAATAATCATTGCCTAATTCACCTGCTAAACCATTTGTTTTATTAAAATTATGAGCAATATTGTTTCTTTCAGCAAGTTCAAAGGCCTGTTTTCTAAAATGATTTTGTGTTAAGCCAAACAAACGACTTTCCATGTCTTTTAAATATTGTACAAGAACATTTTCTTGTTTGATTGAAAATACTATTTGATAATGTCCCAAACCTATAAAAATAAAAATTATACTTTTAATTGAAAACAATTATTTCAACACATAATTGACAAGTTTACAATAAGTTTATAAATTTATAAATAGTTTACAACCCCCTTATAACCAAATATGTTATCTAATATCAGAAGAAAAAAATGGTTTTCTTAATAAGAAATTTTCTATACTAATATATCAAACGAATTACCATAATATTGTGTAATCATTAAATATACCTTTTAATGCACACTGTTGAACATTTAATTTTCCTTCTTTAACTTTCTTGCCTCGATCCTGTAACGTTGAACGAGGAACTTCATAACGAATAGACGCAGCATCATAAGTCATACTTCTTTTCACCACAGCTAATACAGCAACTTTCATATCATTTTCCAACCATGATTGTCTGTTTGATTTCCGAATATAATCACGAACCACACTAAGAAAAATAAAACATTTCAATACTAAAAATTGTTAAAATTCAACTATAGCAATAGTCAAAATATCAATGTGGTAAAACCGTACAGTGTATAACCATACGATTTTGCCCCACAAGACTATTAAAAGTTATCGAGCTTCATATCAAACATTAAATTAATAAATGAATGTATTTATACTACAAATATAAATTACACTTAATTAGATATTGAATAATAAATATGGCATACCTGAACAATTTTTTTGCATATAAAAATTCACTCTTGAAATTTTGATATTATTTTAGTAATTGAATGTAAAAACATAAAACGTATTTATTTTTAAAACGTGATATCAAAACACTTGCACTATCATATTCAATAAATAAACAAGCAAAACGTTTCAAATCGGTGTATTCAGTTTATCTCCTTGACAACAATTATTGATAACATTCCGATAATACGATTTTGCTCCACATACGGTAATACCCCGTCTTCCCCTATAAATTATAACTAGTCTAGCCAACTAGGTGTTTGAGACTGGAGTCATTTGGGTACCCACCTTCACTTTTGCACGCATCCACTAAATACATTACAGGGATTTTAACACTTTACACTACTTACATAGTTACATGGTTTGAATGTGATTTGTTGTAGCTTGTAGATACCATTAGTTTAACTTGGTTTTTACAATGGTTTTAATTCTTTATCGATACATTTTACCTAGAAATAATTACTCATTAGTTTAAAATAAAATACACAAGCAGGTTAGTAGTCCAAAAACTATGTACGACTTACGAAAACCACATCAGAGGGTGAACTGCTTAGATTTATGACTTGTATACTGCACAACTGCACAAGGTAGTGAACGCATTAATTAACTTTATAAAACATACTTAAAGAGTAAAGAGTAAAACAAGGTAAAATATTTAATAAATTCGACAAAAAACTTCAAATCATCAAAAATAATTCAAAATAATAAATATTAACGTATTACATAATTTACATAATAATCGAACATAAGCTCAATATTCTGTTTGCATTTGAAGAGATAACCATCTAAAACATGAACCATGGTTACAGTGATTAATGATTTGTTATCATAATTTATAGTCTATGATTATTGATAAAGCGATTTTTGTATGGTTTTTTTTTGATTTTTTACCCAATACTATGGTTATTGACAGGAAAGGTTGTTATAATAAATAGCTAGTACAATAAAGTAGCAAGCAGTTGCTAGTAGCAATATTCAACGATTATAATTTTGTCATATTAAACACATCCGTATGGTAACTCAAGTATATACCCTATCCATTCAATTCAAAATCCAACTCTGTACGTAGGATCACTACAGTATTCACATTACACTTTTGTTTAATACACTATAATGAGGACCAGGAAATTAAAACACATGTTTAAAATAAATTTATTATTAACAAAATAATAACCATTCATTTGGTGTTGTTACTGTTGTTGCTTCTGCTGCTCCGGCAGCTTTAGCCACTTCGCCTTTAAGCTGTTCAGCCAAAGCAACAGCTTCTTCTGCTGCTTTGGCTGCTTTAGCAGCTTTATTTGCCTCTCCAGCGGCAACATCTCGCTGCTTTGCAGCTGCTGCTGCTGCTGCTGGCTGATCGAACCAGCAGTCAGCAGTAGTGTGACTGCGTCGGAAGCAGTTGGTACATTCTAGAAATTCAAAGGAATTGAAATTAAAACATATTGTTAGAGAATCTTAGTTATATAGTGTAACTAATAATTGCGCTCGGGTCAGGATATAAATAGATTTGTTAAATAAAACGCAAATTAAATGTACGGCTAATTGTTTTTATTTGATGTATGAGAGTTATACGCTCGTGTGCTGAAACTGAGGTCGGCGGCGATATCAAAAAACTAAAGGTAATAAAATAACAATTATATTATATACAACGAGAAACTGGGTACGGTCGCCGGGGACACGGAGCATAGACGGTGCTCCGGTCGCTGCGAAAAATTACAGTGGACTGTTTGCCGGTCCGCCGCTGCGGCCCGTGCCTGTACCTTAGACACGAGGTGCAGTGTGACCAATCCAGGGCACACTGTACCTCGGCCCTAACAACAATATGAGTACAATTTTAAAGCAAAAAAAAAAATAAATTGACGCTAACAATATCAATAATAAAATGTTTGTTCATTTAAAAATTTAAAAATTTTGGATAAGCCAATTTTCTGTAAAGGGAAAACATGATTTCACTCAGCAGATTTTGAGTCATAAGATGCATTTCAAAACAAGATGTTATAGTATTCGAAGAGCAATGTAACTACATAATAAAATAACATTACTAACTGTGTAATTTATTATAATATAAGTATAAATTACAAAATCGATACTTTTTTGTGTAAACCATTTAAACCAAAGTAATGAACTTGTTGATGAAGTTATATAGTTAGACTAAAAAATAGACAATGCACAAATAGATAAAACCCCAAACCTGGTTACACTGAATAGTGTAATGCAAAGGTGTAAATCTAATAAACGTTATTAACAAAATGTATACAAATAGTTCAAATCAATAAAGAACAACTTTATGAACATTGAACACTTAAGTATAAAAGAAAAAATATATACACATGTTTTAGTCAATGTTGATGTGGTGCATTACATGCGTAAGGTTTGATACACCTGAATATTACATTTACGTAGATACAACTCATCCATAAAAACAAATTAATAAGTATGTATAAAATATACTTACTGTTTCAGTTTACATACATTTTACCCTTATTGCCACCACCACCACGGCCCTTATGGCCACCACCGCCATGGCCTCTTTTGCTAGTCCCGGATGGGTGATCATCCGGGATTTTTAGAGACAAATCCTTGCCACACATAAAAAAGAACAAAACGTGTTTTTATCCGTTATAAACAAAAAAAAACCAACAGCTAATGGCCTAAGTTGCCATTGAAAAAATAAATGTTGTTACTTTGCAGTGTAAAATTACCTTAAAAGGATGATACCAATATGAAATGTCAACATTATTTTTTGACATTACCTGTGTGTAAGCGTTGGCTTTTATTTGATATTTTATTTTTCATGCGAGTTAAAAGCATTTTTAATTTTTGATATTTCACATACCCATATCTTGCTTGACAATTAAAATTTTGAAAAATCGGCAACCTTTAAGCACAGATTATGTTATTAATTTATTACCTAAAAGTTTTATAATAGGTCAATTCACTCTAGTATCAAATTTAAAATACAGCATGTTCCATAAATGGAAGAGATATCGAAGAGACAAAATAAAGTTATTGAATACTAAAAAAAAAAATGTTTTAATTTTTAGAAAATTTATTTCGTCAAATTGTATTCTTTTAAATATTATTAAAAGATTGAATAGGTACAATCATTACATTATTTAAATTCCTCATACGTATTGACTATTTTGTGGTTTATCTAGCTATTTTTGAATTATTTCCCCTGATTTCCGACTGTCGTTCATTGCTTATTGTATATTATAATATCATATATATATTATCAATTATATTTTTAAATTGAATTATTCTTTCTAGCAAGGCATGGTCCCGAGTCCCCACGATCTATTACTATTATTGTTATTATTAGTCAAATAGAATCGGTTCTAAATAAATAAATTATGTTACCAATACAATACTCAATGTATTACTAATTGTTATACTGTTATAGTTATTAAAATTAATACCTACTTGCAGTCTGCAGTATTAATTTAATTTCTAAAGAGGTAATTACAGAGGATGACACTATTAAATTTTAATAGTTTACTATATATATTATAATTTTTTTTAAATATAAGTGGATATTTATTATTTAATCAATGACTCCACAATAGTGTTAGTAGGAGAATTAGAACTTCTTGTTTTCCTTATTTCCACTGACTTCGACTATACGCACTTGACAGTATTTAAGAGTTTACTAATTTAGACATCAAAAATCAAAATACAGCCGATTTCAATACAAATATAATACCTATAATAACTTTTTAGTACCGTCGTCCATCTTTATGCTATCGCTAATCGCTATCTCAAGCACCTATCTGTGGTCTGTGGGTGGTAGGCCTATATTGATTTAATAATAATACACATTTTAAATTGTCTTAATATTTCAGGGGGGCTACGCCTACGCCACTGCACTGATTAACACCGAACACGACTTAATTTTTTAGAGCTTGACAATCCTGTACCCGTACGGCTAGAGGGCTGCATGATATACAAGTAACAAATATTATAACAGACTTTGTGCATAGACTGTT